GAATCTACCTCTGGGAAATCTGTCTGCAGAACAGTCAGTGAATGCTTTTACCTATAACTAGTTCTATCCTACTATACTTTCTTTTGCTGCCCAACAATAATAATATTTCCACACACTGGAATACAAATCTTGAGGGTAAAAAGTTAAAAACAGAATTCAAAAAATAATTCATTCTCGAAGCCCTCAACACATCTGTCTTTATACTCTTTGGCACCAATTCCTTAGAAGATTTATAACATCAACCAGCTTCAGCCACAGTGAGAATACATTTTCATGTGGGAGTGTTAATTAAGTGTAAAGGTGAGTAATCACTGCCGAGTGGTCATAGTAGGCAAGGAGAACAAATGGAACATAGAGCAATCATTCTTACAGATACTTTTTGTTGCTTTTCACCCATAAAACAGAAGAGCTGAACAGAACTCTGCCCAGGGACATCTTTCTTTTGGTTGATGATCTGGGGAATTCATGCTGAGCAATTTTCCCTCACAAAGAGCTTATGCACTCTACTCACTTACCTATAAGCATTACAAAAGCTAGAAATGCCAAGCCCTTAAATCAGCAGCATCCAACACTCTGTTGCACAGATTTCTATAGGCTAAGACATAGATTCTTGGGTATCTGTTTGCATGGGGTCTCTCTGTCTGAGTCTCAATGATTCCTTTTGAAATCTGGAACATATAGATCTCAAGATGGAAATTGTTTTACTAATGTCAGTGCTTTCCAAAGAAAGTCAGATGATTCTCTCAGCTTAAGTTCTAAGAGCTGATCATTCCTTCCCTTGCTAAACTATGATGATTTCTCAACTGTCTTTGAAATCATAGTGGAACTTGGGAGCAATAGAAGTAAACTGTCCCAGGAGATTATAGTTGAAAAAATAATGGGTTATGGTCAAGTTTTAGTGTGATGTATAGTTTCTCAAGGTGATATTACTTATATTTTTATGTCTATTGATTTCTGACCAGATTAATCATAATGGATAGTAACAATACACTTAGTCATGCTCTTCTGATGATAAAAAAGTTATCTTCTTAATGATAAAAAAGTTATTTTTATCATTAAGAAACAAGTACTTCACTATTTACAAAGATTTTTAAAAATATAACATATAAATAAAACACAACATTAAAATAAATCAGTGCTAAGATAGACTTAAGACCATAATTCTCATCACTTTACTTTCAAATTTGTATGCCCATTAAAATAGATATCAGCATTTGAACTAATATGGTGATTTTATATTAACAAAATGTGACTTTTCTTTATTTTATTTATACTTTATATATTGAGACTCCTTACCAAATTTTATTAAAATTTTCCACAGAGAAAAAAAAATGTTTGAAAACCACCATTGTAGCAGGCTTTTTTAACCTCAGCATTACTGACATTTTGGAACAGATAATTCCTTGTGGGGTCTGTCATGGGCTGGTAAGATGTTTAGCAGGATCTCTCATGTCCATCTACTGCTAGATCCCAATATCAACCCTTTAGCTCCAGGTATTGCCAAATGTCCCTTGTGGGACAAAAATCAATCCTGATTGAAAAGCATTAGCTGAGTCGTAGGATCATATTTAATAATTCCAGAGCATCTTCACATCTTCACAATTTTTAAATTCATAAGCAACTGTTAAACAAAGAATATGGTAAAGTAGTATAGTAGACAGATGAATTTAATATTTATTGTATTGTTTTACTTAGTGTTTTAATAACTATACAGACTACCAAAAAATGTTGCAGACTATTTTTAAACAGCAGAAGATTTTCGTGATATATTGTTAAGTGAATAAATTAATCAACCCATACAATTATGGGAACAGCAAGCAAAGTGTTTTTGTAAAACACTTTGAAAAAAATTTTAAATTAAACTTTAAAACTCTTGTTTCTCTTGCTTAATACTTAAATAAATTCAGTTAAGTTGACCAATGTCCTGTGTAGGAAAGACCTAAGAAAAAGGTGACTATATTTCTGTTAGTTTAGTACAAATGACCAAATCAATAAGTCATCTTGGCAGCCTCAAAAAATGCTTTGCTGTATATTCGGAGCATCTTCATAAATATACATTATGCATATATATGTATCTAGCAATATGTCAGTATATAATCTGTATATACATATGATGTATTTATACTGTGCTACAGTATATCTGAATGCTTTCATTTGAAAAAAAAGAAATTAAAAAACAACACAAATATCCACCAAAGGATGATTAGGAAAATAAATTATGGCATTTCCATACAGCTGGACATATTGTGGTGGGGTTTTTTTGTTTTGTTTTTGTTTTTTTTTTTTGAGTTGGAGTCTCACTCTGCCGCCCAGACTAGAGTGCAGCGGCTGCTCTGGGCCACCGCAGCCTCGACCTGCTGGGCTCCGGCGATCCTTCCGCCTCAGCCTTCCAAGTAGCCGGAATTACAGACATGCGCTACCACGCCTGGCTGATTTCTTGATTTATTGTAGAGATGAGGTCTCGCTGCCCAGGTGGGTCTCGAACCCGCGGGCTCAGGCAATCCACTCACCTCAGCCTCCCAAATGCGTGGGATTACAGGCTGAGCCACTGAGCCCAGCTTGTGGTGCGTTTTTAAAAAATAGCTTATTGTTTACTGACAGAGTCAAACTCAAGATTATTGTTAAAGAAAATAAGCAAGGTGCAGAACAATGTGTGTGATAGGCTACTGTCTTAAGAAGCTTTTCCCCTAAGAAAACATAGCTGTGCTTCTACCTGCGTGGAGTAATTCTAGAAAAATTCAAATGTTGTAACTCCAGGGAATTAAGGTAGGAAAGGAAGATCATTTAATTTGAAATGAATTAATGACTTAAGCCTAGAATTTGAAACTAAAAAAAGGAAAAACATTGACATTGGTCTTGGTGATAATTTTTTTGATATGATACCAAAATCTCAGACAACAAAAGCAAAAATAGGCAAGTGAGACTAGATTAAACTAAAATGCTTGTGCACAGCAAAGGAAATAAACAAATGAAAAGGCAATCTATGGAATGAGAAAAAATGTTTGCAAACCAAATATCTGGTAAGAGTTAGCAGCCAACTTATATAAAGAACTCACAACTTTCAATACCAAAAATACAAATAACTCAGTTTAAAATGGGCAAAGGATCTAAATAGACACTTCTCAAAAGAAGAAATTCAGATGGTCAACAGACATATGAAAAGATGCTCAACATCTCTAGTCATCAGAGAAATGAACATCAAAACCACAAAGAAATATCACCTCACACCTGTCAGAATGACTACTAGTAAAAAGACAGCTGACAAAAGCGTTGCCAAGGGTGTGAGAGAAAAAGAACCTTTGTATACAGTGAATGGAAATGTAAATTGTAACAATTTTGATCTCCTTGCTCAAGATTGCTTTGGGTTTTTTGTGGTTCCACATGAATGTTAGAATTGTTTCTTCTCTTTCTGCTTAAAAAAAAAAATCCACCAGGATTTTGGTAGGGATTGTACTGAACCTCTATAGATTGCTTTAAGTAGTGTGGACATTTTGACAATATTAATTCTTCCAATCCATGAACTCAGAATGTCTTTCCATTTATTTGTCTTTTCACATTTCCTTCATCAATGCTTTATAATTTTCAGTGTGTAGGCCTTTCCTCTCTTTGGTCAAGTTAGTTCCTAAATAGTGTACTGCTGTTTTTGTCATTAATGCAAATAAAATTGTTTCCTTAATTTTCCTTTTGGAGAATTTGTTGTTAGTAGAAATGCCACTGATTTTTGTTTGTTGATTTTGTATCCTTTAATTTCACTGAATTTATTTATTAGTTCTAAATAGTTTATCTGTGAAGTTATAGAATTGTCTATGTATATAATTATGCCACTTTCAAACCGATGATTTTATTTTATTTTTCTTATTTAGATGTCTTTTATTTATTTTTACCTGATTTCTTTGATTGGGTCTTCAGTACCATGTTGAATAGCTGTGGAGAGTGTGAGCTTTCTTACCTTCTTCCAGATCGTATAAAAAGGCTTTCAGTTTTTTTACATTTATTGAAATGACATGATTTTATTTTATTACTATGTTATATCACATTGATTGATTCACATATATTGTTGACTCTTGCATATCCATCCTTGCATATTCATTCTTGCATCCCAGGAATAAATATTTAGTAATGGTATATAATCCTTTTAAGATACTGTTGAAGCCGGGTTCGGTGGCTCAACCTGTAATCCCACGCCTTTGGGAGGCTGAGGTGAGTGGATTGCCTGAGCCTGAGGGTTCGAGACCCGCCTGGGCAGTGAGACCTCATCTCTACAATAAATCAAAAAATCAGCCGGGTGTGGCAGCGCGCGCCTGTAATTCCGGCTACTCAGAAGGCTGAGGCGGAAGGATCGCCGGAGCCCAGCAGGTCGAGGCTGCAGTGGCCGGGAGCGACCACTGCTCTCCAGTCTGGGCGACAGAGTGAGACTCCAACTCAAAAAATATATATATATATACTGTTGAATTTAATCTGCTAGTATTTTATTGAGGATTTTTACATCTATTTCCATTAGAGATATTGGCCTGCAGTTTTCAATTCTTATATTGTCTTTGGTTTTAGAATTAGAGTGATCTGTCCTAATAAAATGAGTCTGGAAGTTTTCTCTTTTTATTTTTATTTTTTAATCACGTTTACAAAGGGCTAACATTAGTACTTCTTTGAATGTTTGGTAGAACTCACCCATGAAATCACCTGACTCTGGGCTTTTCTTTGTTGGAAAGTTTTTTTTTATTACTGATTCAGTCGTCTTATTTGTTATTGGTTTGACTGGTTTGTTCAGCTGTGTGTTCTTGATACAGTTTTGGTAGGTTGTATGTTTTTAGGAGTTTATCCATTTCCATTTATTCATCTATTATCCAATTTGTTGGCATATAATTATTTGTAATAGCCCCTTATAGTCTCACAAAATTTTTGACACCTCGTTTCTGCCAACTGGTAAACATGATTTGGAACTGGGAAGCCAGTAGATGAAATGTTATCACTTTTATGATTTTTTTTTCTCTCTCTGTCAGGATCACAACTACAGCTGCATGTATGATGGATCTTCGAAGATATCCTCTGGATGAACAGAACTGCACCCTAGAGATTGAAAGCTGTGAGTTACTGAACAAGGAAATGAGAAAGGGGGATACCTGTTTGACCCAAATAAATTCAACCTTTATCTGAGTTAATTAATTCTGTATTTTTAGCTGCACTTTCTTGCCATCCTTTCAAGGACCTCACAATCTAGTGACATTTTCCTTCTTTTGGTGGCTCAGGGGTCATTTCCAAAATTATCTTTTTGGGCAATTAGGGAAAGTCCACTTATTTTAGATCAATAAATGCATCCTTTTTCCTTCTTAGAGTTTCTCACAAAGCCTCCCAATATCCAAGCTGCATTAGTAAGAGAGAAGAAAACATTTTAACATAAACAGACTTTGTAAGATTGTTTTTGGTTCTATCATTTGTTGACCTAAAGGACTGTAAATTGTTGTCTTTGAGAAAACCACAGCATTGTAAAGTCTAGTATGAGTGATGTGTCTTTCCTCATGAAAAGAAAAAGATGATAAATGATATTCATGGGGCTTGCCTTGGGCCAAAGAATGTTTTCACGCCTAGTGATTGATTTTGATTTGTCCTCTTGAGTTGCTTTTTCATAGATTGTTTTCTTAATAATTCAAATATTGTGGCCACTAAGATTTAATCTGGTTGACTATCTTTGTGTGGTTGTTTCTCAGCCATCAACCTGCAGGTATTGAGGTCACTAATTTGTGAATACCAGAGCTAGGCCATTTGTTGGTCTTTAGAAGTCAGAGAAGGTGCGTAGTCAATTGACATCATTACTATAGTACCACTTAATATAATGAGAAGTGAACAATACTTGTTTATATTTAAACAAATACGCAATATAAGATATTTGTTTATATTGTCTGAAATACTTTCTAGCTCTAAACATTAAGAAGATAAAGAAAAATGGGAAAAGTCCAAGTAAATGTATAGTATAGTTGAAGAGTAAATGTGTTTCTCCAGTGTCTGATTATTAAACAATTACATTAATTTTCTAGTTCCATTGTATAGAGACATAGAAAAAAATGTTTATATAGATATAGGTTTAGTTGTAGACATTGATCTACTACAATAAAAACCTGGAGTGAACAAGAAAATGCATGAACTGCTCTTTAATATTCTAATTTTAAAGCATATTATATGAAGAGGTTGGTAAGTTGTAACTTTCGGGTTAAATGCTAAAATGACCAAATTCAAACCATAGAAATAAAATACAAACTCCATCATTTATTAATGGCTAATAACATGTTATAACATTAGTTCAGCAAGTAAACCCTCATGTTTGAAATATATACAGAAAGAGAAGGCTAACTCATAAATTGTTTTTTATCCTTGACCACTCTTCCATTGACTTTGTGATTTTTTTTTACCTTGACTTCTGCTAGACAGCATTTGGATATGATAACCTACTGACATTGCAAGACTTTGTAGCTTGCATCATTTGTTTAAAAGAGGAATGCATTTTGAATTGATTCTGTGCTGTACATTGTAAGTGCTGAAATTATCAGCATTTTCTCCCAAAATACATATTTTAATATAATGCATATTGAGTTTTTCTACTGTTATGGGTTGACATTTTTCTTTAAGTTGGTAAATTTCATGCTGAATATTCTTATCAATTACTTTAGTCCATTTGTTATATCACATTATAGCCAAAACTATAAATGAAGTAAGAATTAAATGTAGTTTTTGTGGGGCATGGATGGGGGAAGCCCAGACAGCCAGTTAGGTCAAAGTAATTATAAAATATAGTGTCAGACAATAGGTGGTAACCTAGGCATATGAAAATCACTGAAGCAATTCAGTAAGCTGCAACCAGTTGTCTGGACATATGGATGAACATAGTAACTGAGACTCTAAAATCAGCTAATATGTAAGATTTTAGGCAGATGGTAACTGTCATCAAAGTGAGCTAGCAGCTGGTCACAGAACTGCAAGCACTAAAGATACTTACCTAAAGCAAAGCTGAAACTCAGGACTGTAAGAATTTGTATAATGAAGAGTCTACAGAGGCAGGAACTTGGTAGAACAGGAAAAAACACAGAACTGCCTTCTATTTGCCAGACTAGAGCTAGGCATTATGTAACACCTCTGTGATGAACTTTCTAACAACATTTGAGAGATGACGTGTCTGAGGCTCAGAGAAGTAAAATAGCTCACCCAGGTATATAGAGAAAGGATAGGGGTGGAACAGAAATTCAGATCCAGAAGTCTACATCCCATCACAGAATTCTGCAATCAACAGGTGGGTAAGGGAACATAACATCAATAATTAGAAATACGGCACCAATCAGAAGCCGAGTGCAGTGGCTCATGCCTGTATTCCCAGCATTTTGAGAGGCCAAGGCAGGAGGATCACTTGTGTTGAGGAGTTCAAGACCAGCCTGGGCAAAATAGTGAGACCTCACCTACTAAAAGAGGCTAAGAATATACTTGTGTAAGTTACGAAGCAAGATTTTTAAGTAAGACCCTTTCAATTTTCCTGTTTTGGGGGCAGAAAGAACCTTGGGTGATCTCTGTGCTTCATACTGCTGCAGAAGGTGACCATGATTTCTTGTGTTATTTCTGACATATATAATATAGTAATAAAAATTTAAATAAAGCAAGAAAAAAATCAAAAAATTAGCCAGGTATGGTGGCATGTGCCTGTAGTCCCAGCTAATCGGGAGATTGAGGTGGGAGGATCACTTGAGCCCAGGAGTCTCAAGACTGGTTAACTGATTGTACCACTGCACTCCAGTCTGTGTGATACTGGGAGACAGCAAATCAAAACAAAAAATGTATGGCACCAATCAGGACCTCTTTCAGCTAGGTTGGAAATGCTGAGTTAACCAAAGACTGGCCTGTGTTTCCTAAATTATTCCTGATAAAAGTCAGAATAGATCCCAGAAACTTGTAGCAGAACTTTGCTTTTAGATCACTGATGCTACCTTTAAAAAAATCAGGTGACAACATTGCTTAGCTTTAACATTTTATTTAAAATGTATACCTTTTAACAATAAAGAAATCATTGTAAAAAGATCTTAAATCTTAAAGATTAATAATTTTAAGCATAATAATAATTTTAAGTATAATAAAGAGTAATAATTTTAAGTCGAGCAGCATATGCCAATATGGAGTTTGAATGAGCTTTGCTTGTTTCTACCTAAGTATATAATCCATATGTTGCTAAATACTAATAAATACTGAATTGGTTGTTCACCTATTTTTTAACTTCATAAAGAAACAGTTATTTTCTGAAACAGCTCTTCCTGAATTGACAATGTACCAAGACAATACTGAGCTTCAAAGTGATTACAAATGAGAGGCTCTGGTGTCAGCTGGAAAATAAGAATAATAAAGTAGACATTCCACCAATGTAAGATTGAACCAATCATACTTTTGTGACCAGTGGAGTGGAAACTTTGCCTGCATTACAAAATTGACTAGTCTGCATGCTCACAATCCCAAGGCTGGTGAAATGTTTTCCTTGGTTAGGTCCTTTGAGACAAATTAAAGATGTTTTGCTTATCTTTATGTCATCTAATCAAGTAAAATTGAAAAGGCCATAAAGGCTTGTTAAATTGAAAATTTGCTTGAACTTGGTGCAGATTAATAGCTTTGTAGCCTTGGGGTACTATAAAACAAGTTAATGGCATATAGAAAAATCAATCAAGGAATTTGGTTTAACGAGGATTTAGAATTTGAAATCAATAATGCTATCATGTGAAGGCTTGATAGCCACAGCCTTGTGGAGATGCGGAAAGAGATTGGAAAAATGATCATGAAGGAGTCAGGTGTCTTTGCCTGTTCTCTGCAGCTCAAATTAAGGGACATCTGGACCCTAATCTCACCCTCTCACTATCAACAAATGTTGTCACCTCGTCACCTTTCACTACACACACACACACACACACACACACACACACACACACACACACACAGACACACAGAAGAGGAAAAAGAGGCCATTTCAGGCTGAAATCTCACACTATTCTCACCCATCTTCTTCTAAACTTCATTATTCTTTATTCTGAGTTGGTTTTGGCTTTCTGTATTTTGGAGAAAGATGTGTTCCTAGTTATTTCCTAGGGTAACCCTACCCTGTGTTCAGAATTTCCTCTCTCTCATCTTCCCCTGGGAATTGGCTGTCTTGAGTTCACACACGCCTCACCCCCATCGCTCAGATACTCAATCTCACCATTTCTACCTCTTTTCTCGGAGCCATAAACAAACTGGAAGCTCTTCTCATCTTAAAATACCTCCACTCTACCCCCTCAGCTTAATAGCAATTTTTCCTCATCTCTCGACTTTCTTTTTCTCCACACTACTTGAAAGAATGGTCTATCTCTGTCATCTACTGCCTCAACTTCCTTTCAACCCACTGCAATCTGGCAACTGCCTACCCACCTCCTGCCTCTGCTGAGACTGTTCTCAGAAAGGTCATAAAGGGCCTCTTCACATTCCATCTTTGTCATGTGATTCCCAAATTTATATCTCCATCTCAGATCTCTTCTGAGCCCCAGATTGATGTACTAGTACTCTTCTGTTCTTATGTTTCAAAGGCATCTTTAAATTCAATTTGCTCAAACTCTACTCTGAATTTTTCCCTCCCAAATGAATTTCTTTCCCCATGTCCTTTATCTCACTATCCAACCAGAATCTTGGGATTCAGGGTTGCCATCTCTCTCTTCCCCACACTCCCCTTATCCAATTTGTTGTCAAGTACCATCCATTCTACCTGCAAAATTATCTATCAATTTCACTGACCTTGGACCATTGTAGCTGTCTTTGTATTGGTCTTCTTGTTTCCGTTCTTGACACACTTCAACTCAATCCATACTCAGCAGCCCTAGTAATCTTACAAGACGTAAATTGAATCATATTCTTTCTCTGCCTTAAAATATTCAAAGACTTTCCATTACTCTGGGGAAACTGTCCACAGTCCTTATTTGCTCTTCAAACTCTGATCTCCCTTGATATCTACTCTCATCAGTTGCCATCTTCTCCTGCTTACTACAATTATATCCACAGACTTCTGTTTCTTGCAGACCAAGCTTTCTCTCACCT